TAGATAGATAGATAGATAGATAGATAGATAGATAGATAGATAGATAGATAGATAGATAGATAGATAGATAGATAGATAGATAGATAGATAGATAGATAGATAGATAGATAGATAGATAGATAGATAGCCACAGTGGTCTAAAATATAGTTTTCTTAGTCCCCAACTTTACTATCGTTGCTTTTGAAGACATCAACATGTATTGACCATTTCCGACACATAATGTATGCTATTCTAAGGTTCCATTTGATCGCAGTCCCCAATTTTACTAATATAACTCTAAAAGAATTGAATATTTTTAATTCATTTCAACACACAATGTATCACACTCTAAGGTTTCAGCTGACGCGCTGGTCTGCAGTTGTGTTAACTAAACAAGTCGACGATGTCTTATACACATTAACCAGCTATTTGATTGTAATCACGACACCAAATGTATGCATTTAAATACTTTTAAAATATGTCTTAAAAGAAAATAACATATTTCAACATTTGATGGATAACCCGAGTCATGGCGAGTTTCTAGAGGTGCACCCCCACCCCTCCCCTTTTAATTTATTTTAAATCTTTACATCAACGCTCCACGCATTTTTTCAAAAAGATTGTTACAGTTAATAAAAATAAACTGTTTAACTATTCATAAAAAAATAAATTGTTACACTTTCAGACCCCATTTTTTTCCAGAAAAAAAAAGGGTTTCGGTAGGGGGTGGGGGAGGGTGGGACACGAGGTCAACAGGGAGAGTTTTTCTTTACTTTATAGGGATCAACTTGGACCAGCGGTTCCAAAATTTTGAAAGACTGGCGACTACATTTTCGAAGCAGTTTTAAAGGGAGGGCACCAGTTAACAATAATAGTGGAATTTTCCATGTAATCTTTAATCAAATTTTAATATAGTTTATCTGGAAAGATTTGAAGAATGACATGGATGGAAGAGGAGTTCTATTTTTTTAAATGGGAGTGGGGGGGGGGTGCAGTTTGTTGTAGTTGCTTAGTTTTAACAGTGAAAAATCTTAATATTTCTCTACTCACAACTTGCCTCTATTGTCTCTACTACTTACTTACTGTTGGGTCAAAGATTAGAACATGCTGCAGTCAGATGTTTAATGGTAAATAGTGTTCGTTCTAGAACAATTCTGTCCAACCCGTGGCCCTTATGAGGCCCGCGAACTGATTTCAAATGGCCCGCCAGAGCTTGAGATTTTGGTATGATGTTTTAAAAAAAAAAAAATATATATATATTGACGCTCAAACTATTTCCAAACGGCATTTTTGTTTTGATTCAGTACTGTTGGCAAATCGCGTTAGAGCACAGGAAAAGTTGTAGCAAGCGGTGAGATCGCAAAATGTAAGCAGTCGTATGACTAGACAGGTGGCAGTCATCTATGTAAAGCACAGCAGCAATTCCAGGTAGTTAGATATTACCTTCTCCTTCTTTCTGTTAATTGTACATGGGAGGCGTAGCGGTGGGGGGGGGGTCAGGTATAATTAAGAAAGGTTTTTAGGGAAAGATGAATTGAGAAACCAAAAGTAACTTGATATGTAGCTATTTTATCATGGTAAAAAATGTCCATGAAGCGCCACCAACGGAACGAAGTGACATGAAACAGATAGGTGAGCACTGCGTGTTGGCGCCTTGTCAGATGATAACAATAGGACAGGAAAGTCATTGCGTCAGAGTATCCGAGACGGGAGCTGGATGGGACGGTGTGAACAATTTATGGTACCCTAATTGAGTAATGAGACTTTCAATGAGTATGAAGCTTCAAACAAGCTGTGTTTGTTTGTAGTCAGTTAATAGCGTCAGGGAGGACCTGTGAGGGACAGTAGGTAAGATCCTTGAAAGTATTTCTAAAAAAATAACAACAAAAAAACAACAACAAAAACAATAAACAAACATAAGAATGCGTTGCCAAGTGAAGTCTGGAAGACGTGGTTTTTGTAATAAATAATATGGAAATGTTGTAGCACAATGATTACCATTTTTGTTGGAAGCCCCTCCATCAGTAAAGCTGTATTCTTTGTTATGTACAACACCAAGTTCCCCCCCCCCCAACCCCCCCCCAACCCCCCGAAAAAAAAAGGGAAGCTTTAATTGGTGACAAATCTAATGAGAACAGGTACTATCTAAAACATCATCAAATTAAGAAAATTGCTAGCACAATTCAAAGCAAAATATAAGAGTTAAGAAGTGCTACACTTTTTAATGACTTTATTTATATTCTCGATAAACCGATAATGCTATTGGGTATATGACTCATTATGATATTGGATATATGCCTCTTTAACGTTATTGGATATATGAATCTTGATGCAATGGGGTATGTGGCTCTTGATGCTGTTTGATGTATGACTAATTTTGCTATTGGATATAATCACTCTTTATGCTTTTGGATCTATGACCGTTTATGTTATTGGATATATTGAAACTGTATGGATAAGTTATCAATATAACGAATAATTTTCGAAATAATATTTCTTCTGGGATGTCATCTACGGCCCTCAGCTTCGCAGGACAAAACATTGGCCTAATGAGACGAAGAGATGGACAGCACTGTTATTTTCGCAAAGTCAAAGCTTGCTTTAAAAAATATTTTGTTAACATTTTATTGATTATATTTTAATTAATCGTGGAAAAAGTGTAATTAAAATTGCGTTTCCAGTATCTCCGGTTGATTTAATCACTGGCCAGTCTCAAACGAAGGCGACGCCACGCACCACAACGAGGTAAGACCACGTGACCGCGAGCAAACAGAATGTTTACTCTGAAACTTTATTAAAAAAAACTTATTTCAAAACAAAAATAAAATTTAAAAAAAAATTTCACGCAGAGCTTTGATTAACAATCACAGCTTTGTAAACCTGGATCCCATGCCCTACTTCCAAACATTCCCCTGATCCCCACCCTTCCCCCCCCCCACCCCGTCCCCCATTCTCCGTGGATTTCGTTTCCTTTGTGCGACATTTGATGACACAGTGTTGTTCAAATTGACCCTCTCAATCAGTGGTTCTCAACCTTCCTAATGCAGCGATCCTTAAATACAGTTCCTCAATTTGTGGCGACCCGCAACCACAAAATAATTTTCGTTGCTATTTCGTAATTGTAGGGTCATTGTGTTTTCCGATGGTCTTAGGCGACCGCTGGGAAAGGGTCGTTCGACCCCCCCAAAGAGGTCGCGACCCACGGGTTGAGAATCGCTGCTCTAGATGTTATACCAGACGTGAACTCTCAAAGCGGGTCTCACATTTTAACCGAATGGAGTACACAATAACGAGAGAGTTTTTGGGAAGTGTGCTTGAAGATCGGGGCGGTTAAAAATAAATTATAACGAATTCATGGATAGATTTTGAATTGAAGAACTTTACGGTAAAACTGGTTTAAATCATTTGGGGTTTAAGCCGAAGTGGAAACTCTTCATCACTAGGAAATGGGGTTAAATTTCATCTCTTTTACCATTAAAAAAAAAAATCAACTTAATGGAATGTTGACCTAATTAGACAATTTAAAGGCGTATTGTGTTATTACTATATTTTAAAAAAAAAATATTTGGATTCAGAATATCAAGTAGTTTTGCTTTAGCAATAATCTCGCTTGTATTATTTGTTATTTGATTATAATTATTTATTTCTTATATTTTTTTTTTTTTTTGTTTGCTTTAGAATGTCGGAGAGGGCAATGATCTTACTTTATTCTATTAAGATTTAGAAACTTCATTACTGCATGGGGGATTTTTTTTTTTTTGTTTATATTTTTTTTTTTTTTTTATTTTTTTTTTTTTTTGTTTGCTTTAGAATGTCGGAGAGGGCAATGATCTTACTTTATTCTATTAAGATTTAGAAACTTCATTACTGCATGGGGGACAAAAAAGACTCTTCGGTATGAATGGGCACCTTTGTCTGTTGACGTCAGTGCAGGCGGTGAAATATATGTGTATGGGGAGTCAAGGATAATGGGGTGGGTGGGGCGATTCGGTTATATATAAAAATATGGCTCCGGTAAAAACTATTTTGTTTGAATGTGAATGTAATATGTGTTGATCACGTGTGGACATTGCCGCGACTTCGCTGGAAAAGGGGAGGTCTGAGGAATTTAATAATGATTAGTCACAGCTCAGTTGTGTCACGGCTCAGTTGTGTAACGGCTCAGGTGTGTCACGGCTCAGTTGTGTAACGGCTCAGGTGTGTCACGGCTCAGTTGTGTCACGGCTCAGGTGTGTCACGGCTCAGAAGTGTCACGGCTCAGGTGTGTCACGGCTCAGAAGTGTCCCGGCTCAGAAGTATCACGGCCCAGAAGTGTCACGGCTCAGAAGTGTCACGGCCCAGAAATGTCACGTCTCAGAAGTGTCATGGGTCAGCTGTATCACGTCTCAGAAATGTCATGGGTCAGCTGTGTCACAGCACAGTTGTGTCACGACTCAGAAGAGTCACGTTTAAAATGTGTTACAGCTCAGTTGTGTCACGACTCAGTTGTGTCACGACTTAGTTGTGTCACGGCTCAGACGTATCACGGCTCAGAAGTGTCACGGCTCAGACGTGTCACGGCTCAGACGTGTCACGGCTCAGACGTGTCACGGCTCAGACGTGTCACGGCTCAGAAATGTCACGGCTCAGAATTATCATGGGACAGCTGTGTCACGTCTCAGAAATGTCACGGGTCACTGTGTCACAGCTCTGTTGTGTCACAGCTCAGTTGTGTCCACGACTCAGAAGAGTCACGGCTCAGTTGTGTTACAGCTCAGTTGTGTCACGACTCTTAATGTCACAGCTCAGCCGTGTCAGGGGTCAGATGTGTCACGACTCTGTTTGCAACTGGCTCTTATGTGTCAATACCAAATCGCCTCCTACACTATCATCTAATATATACTCGGTAAGAAAACATTTAAAAGAGAAATTAACAAAAAAATATCAGCAGTCTAGAGAAACGATTGGAACCGAACAAAGATTTCACTGCAGGACATATTTGAATTCATATGTGACCTGGGCTCTCGACATACGACCTAATAAAAAGGTCCTTAAAGTATATGTGTCGTCATTAGTTACTGAATGTGGGACCCTTCCTTTGGGGGTGTAGGACAACCAAAATTGGGGTAACGTTTGTAGGGGGCGTTCATTCCCGATTTCAGGCGTTGGGGCGATACGATATTTTCACCCAATACACCACCCTCCCACCCAATCTATACGTTAAGCCATTCATGTTGGGACACTCATCTTTCTATAGCACCTGACTCGTCACGCCATGCAAATTTAAAAAAAAAATATCTTAACTTCAGTCAACTGGAACAAACTTGACGTCCACAGGTATCTCTCGCTAACCACCGAGTCTTCTAGAAGGGATAAAGTAACACATATTACTTTTTTTTTTTAAACGACGTGGTAAGTGTTATAATAAATTCGATCATTTCCTTGATAAAAAAACAACTTTACTATCGTTTACGGTATTCGCTTTCAACCAATACTAAAGTAAGTAAGCACAGCGTTGTTATAATATTTTAAGAATATTTCCCCCCAAAAGATTAAGGAGATATGTACGAACGCGTATTTCATTTAGAAAAAAAAACATATTTTAGGGACCGTATTTTCCGGCGTATAAGACGACTTTTTAACCCATGAAAATCTTTTCAAAAGTAGCGGGTCGTCTTTTACGCCGGGGGTCGTCTTATGAGCTGGTGTACAGCCCAAACCCTAGATTTTAACAGGAAAAGTAGGGGGTCGTCTTAAGAGCTTGTGTACAGCCAAAACCTTAGATTTTCACAGGAAAAGTAGGGGGTCGTCTTATGAGCTGGTGTACAGCCCAAACCCTAGATTTTAACAGGAAAAGTAGGGGGTCGTCTTAAGAGCTGGTGTACAGCCAAAACCCTAGATTTTCACAGGAAAAGTAGGGGGTCGTCTTATGAGCTGGTGTACAGCCAAAACCCTAGATTTTAACAGGAAAAGTAGGGGGTCGTCTTAAGAGCTGGTGTACAGCCAAAACCCTAGATTTTCACAGGAAAAGTAGGGGGTCGTCTTATGAGCTGGTGTACAGCCCAAACCCTAGATTTTAACAGGAAAAGTAGGGGGTCGTCTTAAACGCCCAGTCGTCTTATACGCCGGACCATACGGTATCTTAAATATGCCAATAAGTCTTAGAAACTATAAAATAATTCTAACACCCTAAATTCTTTTTTGTTTTCTTTCATCGATGAGATATTAATAATTTTTGATTTGGTTCAATTGTAAAAAAAAAAAAAAATCCTTGCATAAATGTGATTTAGGATTTTTTTCAATTATTGCCAATAGCTATCGTTGTGCATCATGTATCTTAAGTAACTATGTCATTCTTTTTAGCCTTTGAATGCAAATGGGAGAGCTTCTTATAAGATGGTGAGTACCACGGCTTTTATTCTTTACTCGATAATATTTAAATTAATATCCTTTTTTAATGCTGTTGCCCATACGTTGCTCAACGCCAGGAACCTACTCCACAGGGTTGATAATTTATCAGATAATAAGTTTCTTGTCAAATTGTATTTAGTGTGTTTAAACTTACTGATAGTCGGAACACCTCACACTGATGACTTACATACATATAAAGAACAGTTTTATTTCATTATTTATTCCTCAACCACCTCCCCCCATTTTTTTCAATTTAGAGGGGGGGGGGGACAACATTTTTATAAGAAAATACAAAATTGTAATCCACATAATTTGAAATAAGACAAATTTAATATTACAAATAAAAACTGATTATTTTATGATTAAAAAATATTTAAAAAAAGAGAACACATTTCATTCAATAAAAGTTGTTTAAGAAAAACATTTTAAAAAAATAATACAACACAAAAGCAAATTAGTTTTTAAAATAAAAATAAAATTCTATAAAAATGAATTGTCCGCTCTCTTATTCCCTGACAACAGCTTTCTTTTCACCATCATCTTGCCGTTGACCTCAGCGTTCAGTTTCTACCAGTATCAAGTACCGAATGGAGATAACGTTGGTGACCCTTGTCAACGTGGTGGACAATGGGCGGCAATCGGTCATCAGATGATCTACGGAGGCGGGCCGAGAAATCCGTTTGGAGACGCCTTTGACAGAGCTGGGAGAAACGTGAGTTTTAGAAGAAATTAGTTTTGGTTGCGAGACCTTTGCAAATGGTTGGGAATTGATTTTGTTTCCAGAGATGTGAAACCCCGATGTTTGGATGCAGCTGGTGTGTCGGTTAGCAGATGAGGACACGCATTTCATTAAAAGCCTCATGTAGCTGGTGTGTCGGCTAGCAGGTGAGGACACACATTTCATTAAAAGCCTCATGCAGCTGGTGTGCCGGCTAGCCTAGCAGGTGAGGACACACATTTCATTAAAAGCCTCATGCAGCTGGTGTGCCGGCTAGCAGGTGAGGACACACATTTCATTAAAAGCCTCATGCAGCTGGTGTGCCGGCTAGCAGGTGAGGACACACATTTCATTAAAAGCCTCATGCAGCTGGTGTGTCGGCTAGCAGGTGAGGACACACATTTCATTAAAAGCCTCATGCAGCTGGTGTGCCGGCTAGCAGGTGAGGACACACATTTCATTAAAAGCCTCATGCAGCTGGTGTGTCGACTAGCAGGTGAGGACACACATTTCATTAAAAGTCTCATGCAGCTGGTGTGTCGGCTAACACGTGAGGACACACATTTCATTGAAAGCCTCATGCAGCTGGTGTCTCGGCCAGCGGGCGAGGACACGTATTTCATTAAAATCCTCTCCATGTTTTTGTGGTTGTTGATCTTTGCACTTCACATGCAAAGATGATCAATGCTGTATTTGAACGTGAGTACGCATATAACCCTCCAGTGCTATTTATGCTTGGAAAGCTTTCCCGCACGTGGAATACATGTCATTTTGTGTCGTGGTTGGAACTGAGTCGATTTTGTTTCTTCGTTCCGTGCGTGTTCTTTGCGGAGTGATATCTTGGGGAGTGAGCGGAGCGATATCTTGGGGAGTGAGCGGAGCGATATCTTGGGGAGTGAGCGGAGCGATATCTTGGGGAGTGAGCGGAGCGATATCTTGGGGAGCGGAGCGCTCGTTCTCTGAGGATTTCCTTAAATTTAAAGGAGATCTTATCCCATTGTTTTTAACGCCCATGAACTTTATTTTCAAGAAATAAATAAAGAAATAGTGCTCTGCTATTAAAGATATCAAAAAAAAAATTATATGCCCTTGAACTAAAAAAAATAATTTCTTGCCTGTTTTGAATCTATACTCATCTCCTTACTGATTAATGAAAACATAATTAGCTTATACTTTAGAGATTACAATGTACAGGCTTGCGAAAGAAAGTCCATATAAAACATGGATCGGTTTGAAACTTAGATGTATACATCCTTTTTTTAAATAGAATAGTTTTTTCGACAGAAATAATGTCGAGAAATCAGTAGCAGCCATTCAGCCAGTTAGTTGTTACACATTTGATGAAGAGGTTTGCAATCAGAATAAAATATTGTAACTTAAGTCTAATAGAATCATAACCTATGTGCTTCTGTTCAGTGGACAAAGGCGCTCTGTCTAGAGGACTCTGATGGCGACGGCAGGACCAACGGTCAAGAGCTGGGAGACCCTAATTGTGTCTGGTCTTATGGTAGAGGAGACCCAATGACCGGGAACATAACACACCCAGGTGAAAAAATAATGTTTTTGATTAGTGATAAGTTCATTAATTTAGGCAGTGATAGACCGGGATATAACCGATTTGATGATTCATACACCTGCCATAATCAGTGATTCATACAGCTACAATAAGAACTTAAAGTTACAGTGAAATAATCTATTAATACCGTAATATTGTTACAAATAATATATAGAAGAATGAGCCAATGAACCAGAGAAGATGCACATTTTTTTTCAATAAGCCTGCTAGATAAACTAGGTATTTATAGAAATAAATAGAAATCTTTTTTTAAAAAAATGATAGTCAAATGTGGGTATGTTACGGAAATCGAAACACTCTAATAAAATTAAATACAATCTTTAATGTGTAAGTAGTTTTTTTAATAAACAATAGAAATACATTGAACATAACAATTAAAATTTTTTTTAAAGTATTTATCTGAATGTTAGAGTTAAGATACCTTATAAAAAATATCAAGATTCTTATCTATCATCTCATTATTAATTAATAACTAGTCGTTCCGCTCCTACATGTTTCAATTTCAATGTTCCCAAGGTATATGTGAACCACTGGACAGTGCCAGATGTCTAGGTAAGAACAACTTCGACACGTGTCTGACCCCTAAGACGGTGATTGACAGCTGCTCTGTAGCAAACAATTCTGGTATGTCTGAAAGAGGATTTCTTAAACCTTATTCCACGTAACCATGTTTACCAATAAATTGTTACAAAAAGATGTATTTTCATTTAATCGATATGAAGCCAATCAATAAAGTTGAATTAGGATTTACAGTATCATTTAATACCGTACAGCTAGAAGTTAAAGTCTCCTTTAGTACAGCTAGGAGTTAAAGTCTCCTTTAGTAGAGCTAGGAGTTAAAGTCTCCTTTAGTACAGCAAGGATTCATAGTATTATTTAGTACAGCTAGGAGTTAAAGTCTCCTTTAGTACAGTTAGGAGTTAAAGTCTCCTTTAGTAGAGCTAGGAGTTAAAGTCTCCTTTAGTACATCAAGGATTCATAGTATTATTTAGTACAGCTAGCTAGGAGTTAAAGTCTCCTTTAATACAGCTAGGAGTTAAAGTCTCCTTTAGTAGAGCTAGGAGTTAAAGTCTCCTTTAGTACATCAAGGATTCATAGTATTATTTAGTACAGCTAGGAGTTAAAGTCTCCTTTAGTACAGCTAGGAGTTAAAGTCTCCTTTAGTACAGTTAGGAGTTAAAGTCTCCTTTAGTACAGCAAGGATTCATAGTATTATTTAGTACAGCTAGGAGTTAAAGTCTCCTTTAATACAGCTAGGAGTTAAAGTCTCCTTTAGTACAGCGAGGATTCATAGTATTATTTAGTACAGCTAGGAGTTAAAGTCTCCTTTTGTACAGCTAGGATTCATAGTATTATTTAGTACAGCTAGGAGTTAAAGTCTCATTTAGTACAGCTAGGATTCATAGTATTATTTAGTACAGCTAGGAGTTTAAGTCTCATTTAGTACAGTGAGGAGATAAAATCTCATTTGGTACAGCGAGAAGCAATGGTTAGGGCCGGAGACTCACCGTTTTAGCGTGAACAGGTCGATCATACTACGTCACGGGGTTAAGCTCTGTGATATATAAGTGGCCTTGTTGATGCAATAATAGATAAATACATATAGCATTGACTTGATAATATCCTATTTTGACTTTGTTATAAGTCCCACACGGGCGCATCTTTCTTATAAATTACTCTTTGCAGGTATCAAAACAATGAACTTGACTTTCCCGAAGATGATAATCCCACCTGCTTCCAACAGTTCTCTGTGTATGACCGTGGATGCATCCAGGGAGATGGATTACCATCTGTTTGCCGTCCAGCCTGTCGTAGACGTTACTAATGTAACTTATAACATGCTTCTGTATGGCTGTGACAATAGTAAGGATTAAATACAGTGAAATAACATTTGATCTCTCTGCAGACCTGGCAACAAAACCAGACGACCACCCCCGTCAATCCCCCCCCCCTGTGGAGGGTGTTGCACTCTAGAGCCCCCCCCCCCTAAATGTTGTGTCATAAAATGTGCCTATATCATTATATAACAATTAGATCATTGTGAAAATAATGTATATATATATAGATGCCCGTATATAACACACACATATATATAGTGAGCTGTAACTTAATGTTTAGAAATCACCATTAAACCAACCTTCGAACATATTTTTGTCCATCCAGCCACAAGTGATTCGACACTGGCCCCACAGGTCTGTCAGGCGAGCTCCGCGGGCTGTCAGGTTATCACGACATGGACTTTTGGACAACCCGGAACATGCTTCGGAGAAACCGTCGGCTACCGGATGGGGAAGTCGGGTTTTCAAAGATTTAAGCTGGAGGTTTGGAAGTTCGCTTGCTATCGTTTGGGCTTTTCGTCTGATTATAAACAAAACAAGCACGAACCGAACGTTTCGCATTAGGGATTTTCATGCTTACAACAATCAGAACATTGTACCATGATGATTTTAAGAAAATGTCTAAGTAGGCTGTTAGATTTTTTCAACAGACAATACGACCCGGTTCTTGAATTTCTGTTCGTGCGCGTGTGTGTGCCATTGTTGTTGTTGTTCTTTTGGGGTAGGGGAAGTTGGGGAGAGAGTAGGGGTGGGGATAAATAAGACTTGACATTGGAAAGTAAAATCAGTCATCTGTTGTTCAAATTTTTTTTTTTTTTTAAATTAATAAAAAAATAAGTTTAACACAAAACTAATAAATAATGTTTATTAAGTCGTCTTAAGGTAACTACTTACATCTCTAAAGTTAAAGAAAACACCAAAAGCAAATTCAAAATTTAGGCGTCAATTTTGAAAATTACATGACTTTAAAAAATGTTTGTGTTTGCCATTCAAGTTTGTATGGCACTTTGTAAACTTTTTTTTTTTTTTTTGATGCTGGGGCTGCAAATTTATAAGGACTTAATGTCCCATTGTAGTTTTATTATAACCATTTATAGATTCAATTTTACCGAGGCTGATGGCGAGATATCAGCTCTACACTTGATTACTCCTATGAAATTTAAATTTTCTTCTGACAAAGCATAATTTAAGTTGATGTCCGTTTGCCAAAGTAAATCTTTTTTGATAAATCTCCAGGGTAAATAGTCGGCGATTAGTATTTTAAGACCAATGCCAAAGCTCTGCTCAGCAGGACTGATAAGGATTGGGGATAAGGCTTTTTTTGTTTTTGGTATTACTATAATTTTGAACTCAAGTGTCTCAGCCCTTTAGAAAATATAGTTCATGCTTATGTTACACAGGATCGTACTATTTATCTTAATATCCTTTTAAACAGGTTCGTTATATCATTGTTAACTTAATGTCTTGGCCCCTAGATTCACTACAGCAATAGGAAGCTTTCATCCGGAGTCAGCGGCTCTAGTGGACTGAATCTGTACTACAAGCCGGCCAGCGCAACTGTACATGATTTGGTGACCTTAAGAACTGGACAGTCACTGTTGGAAATACCACCAGGTCCGATCAACGGGAGATTTAATTTCTTAAGCATAGAGATTATTAATTATCAAGGAGGTTATTTCATCCAGACATGCCAAATAATTTAATATTATATTGAGCGGCTATTTTTTTTGCGATTTTTCAGCGAAACTTTTCGCTTGTCAGTTTCGCCCCGTAAGTTGACTCAATTGACTTATACATGAGTTATTGATTAGTAAAGATGCTATAGTGGAAGCAAGCATAGTTTGTACACATCTTGACAGTATGTCTGACAGAAGTCGTTTCTCCCCACTAATTCCTTTTGTTAACTCCTCTAGTCCCCATTGTTAACTGCTCTAGTCCCCTTCATTAACTGCTCCAGTCCTCTTTGTTAACTGCTCTAGTTCCCTTTGTTAACTGCTCTAGTCCCCTTTGTTAACTACTCTAGCCCCCTTACTTAACTGCTCTAGTCCCCTTTTTTAACTGCTCTAGTCCCTTTTGTTAACTGCTCTAGTCGCTTTTGTTAACTGCCCTAGTCCTCTTTGTTAACTGCTCTAGTCCTGTTTGTTAACTGCTCTAGTCTCCTTTGGTAACTGCTCTAGTCTCCTTTGTTAACTGCTCTAGCCTCCTTTGTTAACTGCTCTAGTCCTCTTTGTTAAATTCTCTTTCTCCTTCTTTAACTGCTCTAGTCCTCTTTGTTAACTGCTCTAGTCTCCTTTGTTAACTGATATAGTCTCCTTTGTTAACTGCTCTAGTCCTCTTTGTTAACTGCTCTAGTCCCCTTTTTAAAATGCTCTAGTCCTCTTTGTTAACTGCTCTAGTCCTGTTTGTTAACTGCTATAGTCTCCTTTGTTAACTGCTCTCGTCTCTTTTGTTAACTGCTATAGCCTCCTTTGTTAACTGCTCTAGTCCTCTTTGTTAAATGCTCTAGTCTCCTTCGTTAACTGCTCTAGTCCTCTTTGTTAACTGCTCTAGTCCTGTTTGTTAACTACTCTAGTCTCCTTTGTTAACAGCTCTAGTCTCCTTTTTTAACTGCTCTAGTCCTCTTTGTAAACTGCTCTAGTCCCCTTTGTTAACTGCTTCAGTGCCTTTTGTTAATTGCTCTAGTCCCCTTTGTTAACTGCTTTAGTCTCCTTTGTTAACTGCTCTAGTCCCCTTTGCTAACTGCTCTAGACCCCTTTGTTAACTGCTCTAGTCCCCTTTGCTAACTGCTCTAGACACCTTTGCTAACTGCTCTAGTCCCCTTTGCTAACTGCTCTAGACCCCTTGGTTAACTTCTCTAGTCCCCTTTGCTAAATGCTCTAGACCTCTTTGTTAACTTCTCTAGTCTCCTTCATCAACTGTTCTAGTCCCCTTTGCAAACTGTTCTAGTCTCCTTTGTTAACTGCTCTAGTCCTCTTTGTTAACTGCTTCGGTGCCTTTAGTTAATTACTCTAGTCCTCTTTGTTAACAGCTCTGGTCTCCTTCATTGTCTGCTCTAATCACCTTTGTTAACTGCTCTAGTCCTTACAATGCAAAGCCTGGCGTCTTTGCATGATTTCTTCAAAATGCTTAACTTTCTGATATTTTAGTGTTTCGCATCCTTTGTACGCGAGAGATTTAAATTATGTAATTGAATCATGTGAACCATTCCGTTAGGTCCGAAAATAGACACACACACACACACACGACACATATACACACCACACGTACACAAACACAAAAAACACACTCATATATACACTACACACCACACCATAGACACACACACAAACACACACAACACACACACACTTACACATGACGGTTCTGTTCCATGATTCATTCATGACAGTGACAACATGCTTGACCAAGATGCATACAATTCTATATATGATTTCTATATATGATTATACCTCTATTAACCACTGTGTAATCTCAGTCCTGTTCGTTTATTTCCAGGTAGACCGAGTGTCACCCAAGTCGGTGTTTGTAATGGAACGTGCACAAGGACAACGTTATCCAAACCGGCCTACATCTCCCACGCTTTGAATTCCATGCACTCTCTTGGTCAGTTCTTATATTAGACATTTTTGTGTGCCCTAAATTGCAAATATTTAAAATGGTGTACATCATACAAGTTACATTTCCTTTTACTCATAAATTGTTTCATTATAGCATGCATGTTGACATAAATCAGCTAAGGACTAGTTTAGGATGCTTCGGCTAGATGCCCTTTTCAGTCGACAATACAAAAACACGATTTAAATAGAACTTAAAAAGGCTTATGTGTTAAAAATCTCAATCAAATCATTGTAGATCTATGTTTAGAACCGAAAGCAGGCATCTTGCCGAAACGTCCTTAAAATTGTCCTCTTGTTTTTTGTTTTTTTTTTCGTTTCAAGCCTAACTATATCTCGATCCACTTTTTCCTTCACACGTCTTGAACACAGGGATGTGACACCTGCTGGCACATATTTTGGGGCAGCATTTTTGATCCACTGTATTTACTTTATAAAGCTTAAATTTGTAAGTGCATTCTAAATGCATTGTGGTTTTCGTTAATTAGAGGCTACAAAGTAAATCAAACCCGCCTCTTTTGCCTGAAACTCTAGCTACTCCACTGAGACAACCGTGATCTGAACACTTGTGAAGAAAAAAAAAAAGTCGTACATTTAAAAAAAAAAAAAAAAAAAAAATATTCACCACACCTCTTCATTGCCTAACTGGTTGTGGAATGTTTTGCTTTAAACATTTTTTCAGGCGTTGCTATGAAGATTGAATTACGTCGAAACGGCATCAAGCTGGCTGACATCAGCAATGACGCCGTCTACAATTACGAAGCACCGTCGACTCGCTAGTAAGTGATGTTTAGAAGATGCCCTGGGCGTCAGTGTGATACAGCTTGTGATCCATGTGTCTGGGTGACTTTAATATTCAGGCTTGCTAAACGTTTAGTACGTCTAGGCGTGTATTTTCCAACATTTTCAATTACAGTGCGATTCTTTGATACAAGCAAAATTTAAACATATAATTTTACTTTTCAGAGATTTAAACTCAATGTTACTAATACGTGCCATCATTACTTTGCTAGATATTTTCTACTGGCATGTACAAAAACTTACATTTGCTTCTACCCAATGGTATATTACTACGACACAATTTAGTCCTATTAAACGTGAAATAGATCTTCGTAGAAAACAATTGGAGCTAGAATTTGATTATATCTTTAAAAAATTTGGGGATTGGTGGTGGGTCACAGAAGGGCCAAGGAATAAGTGGCGGTACTTCCTGAGATGTTGACTTCTTTCTAACCCACTTTAATCAGTAAATAACCTTTATTAGCCAAGAGACTGACTTTGTGTTTGCATTTCTGCACTCTATTAACCTTCACCACTGATCGTTGTTGTGATGGTCTTGTTTTAACATCACATTTATATTCCGCACCCATGGTAATATTCGGTCTTAAAAACCTACCCCCCTAATATTTCGATGCTATCTCTTTAAAGTCACCGTCCACACATTGAACTCCTACCTGGGGATGAGGTAGTGACCACATGCGTCTATAACACCACGGCCTCCAAGCGCTGGGTCTACCAAGGGGAGAGATCTGCCGATGAGGTGTGTGCCGGTTACCTGGCTGTGTATCCACGGGATGCTGTAGCCATGCAAGGTACATAACGATTCGTGTCACGGTGGTTTGGACAGCGAGTTGTTTCGGGGAATTTCAGTATAGTTGCTAGCTGCTATTAATCTTCCCATGGAGTAGCCAGGTGTTGCTGTATCGTAACAATGGACATTAGGGACATCATTTGGTTAGGGCAGGGGGGGCAACCCCCCCCCTTTCCTCACTGATTTGCTGCTTTTATTTAAATTGCTGTGTACTGTGGCGCCTTCAGTCATAAACATCTTAACAAGCTGAGCAAGTTTTGGTTTTGCCCCTCCCCCCTCCCTTCCGCTTAAAAAAAATCAACTGAAATGATGCCCCTGATGGGCATGGTCTATAATAGCTGATTGAATATTTTCATCTTGCGAATCTGAGATACCAGACAATTCCACACCATTCATATCAAACCATTCAGCACTTAAAATAGAAGTATTGTCGGTGTGAGCAATAATTGTCATAAGCTCTCTCTCTGTCTTTGAGTTAATATAGCTGTTATTGAACACCGATGCGTCAGTTTAAAAAAAAAAAATGAACACCGTGTACAATGATGTGTAAATCATTGTAGAGAGCGGATTAAGAGAAATTGACAGGTTAACAGATGCCAACTTTTGACTTCTCTTGCACTAACAAAGCGTGCTAACATTCTGACCAGCCATCTGCAGTGCACAGACAGACACGCATTAAACAACTCTTATATTGTTAAAAGCCTAAACATATATGACTCTTTACACTCATTAAATTGTTTAAAATAATGTAAGATTCAGTCAATTTTTAAGATTAAAATTTTAATAGAAAAAAAATAAATATTGTTGACGTCATCTAATCTAAAGCCCCCCTCCCTCCCCCCCCCCTTGTCAACAACTTTCAAACATTTCCAAACCTCCTCCCCCTATTTTTGTTGACGTAATTAATCGACGCCCCCTTTGAAGAATCTAATGTCCTGTCTTCAACAATTTGGTCAGGTCTTTTAACTGTTTCCCTTTTCGCCTATATTTCCGACCTCTGCCGGAATTAGACTGGGCGTCTCTGGGGAATCTATCTTCAAGCGACGTCATGTCCGGTACCCCACTCAACGGCTGTGATTGGAAGGCGTTCACTGACGTAACTAACCCGGACGCAATCAGGATGTACACCGAGCTTACCAAGAATTGTAACCTTGACGGTTTTTGCAGGTACTTTTTGTTACGTATTCCTAATTAGATTGTGAGTTCACAACGAAACTAAATCCCTGATTTTTATGATTTGGAGATAAAATTAATGGTGTACTTGTTCAATGCTGTTTCGGCTTTTGAAAAATCCAACTTTCATTATAAAGATTCATAAATGAGTTATCGTAGATGATAAACATCATGCATCTGGCTTTATTCTACATGAGCTTCAAGCAAAAACATTATATATATATAATTTTGCTAGTGGTGTGACTGCTTCAATTATCGGATAGCACGCAAAATATAATTCCCGATAACTACACTAAATAATTTTTTTTAAATAAAATAATGCAACTGCGTTTGGTGCGTTATATTTTCTTCTCGGAAGAGGAAACTGGTTGGGACATCCAGACTATTAATATAGTCCACGGGCGTGCAATAAAAAGTGATCAGTGACGTATCATGGGGTCAAAGGGTGTAGCTAAATTTGGGATTCTAAACCTTAAAATGTGCATTACTTGATTGCATGTTTTGTCAAGTAACTTGACTAGATGGGAAGTTCATGCATTGCTGTCGCCAATGTTTGGCCAGCTATAAATAGTAAATACATATTATACTTAAAGCATTAAAAATGTAGACAGCGATTTAAAATTTCTTAAAATGCATTACGCAAGGAAAGGCCGTGAAAACGTGTAGATTTACATTATACTTGCTTTTCGAAATGATTGTAGAAGAACCTGAAATATATGTTATTTGATTAATTTCTGAAAATATTTTCTGCATAAACCTTCTTTGCATAATGCATTAAAAAATTAAAATATATTTTTTTTCTTTGTAATGCCTCTTATCTCGAATTCGATAGAAAATTGTAAAACTTTTTTCTTCTTTTTAGCATCACAATTCTAATCTTTTAATTATCATTAAAAGTAGAATTATTAACTTTTAAAAAAAAAATCGAATGCCTACAACGTCCCTGTTATACTGACTGAACTCTTTACCTAGGGATAAAACTAAAAGGTAGACCCGAGTTCACACACCCACCCTTTCACCTAACAAAGCAGACGTGGTCAATCACGATCATGTTAGCCGTAATGTAAACCTGCCTCCGTCGACCAAGTATTAAAAACCCCCACACACCTTTTTTTTTCCAAGCGTTCCCCAGGTGAACACGGCACGAAAAAGACTCAATCTTAAAATGTCATGTCTGTAAACAATAAAAATTACCCCCCCCCCCCCAAAAATTGCGAGTAGAAAGAACCTTTAAAAATAATGATATAAAGCTAACAAGCACAAATTAACAATTAATATTAAAAAAAAAAAAAAAACACGAAATAAATCTGTCTCGAAACAGACCAGAATGTCAGGAGCTGGCTAACACACTTAACAGACATCCATGTCTGAACGGAGACGCGGCCAGGATCGTCAACCACTTCATGGAGTCGAGACGAACGGGCCTGGAGTTCCTGGGACGCCTTCACTCGTGTCCTCGAACCGTGGCGCATAACTGCTCAACAGGTTGTCCCGGAGCCTGCGACGGTGACTGCTCCCAGATCTGCGCGGACACGGTCGTTGGTTACAACCCCAAGAACCCTGACAACCCCCAGAACAACGACGACCCAGTCGGTGTAGATGGTGTAGATGGAGCCAGCAGCACAGTTGCACAGTTTTGGATTTTGATGATCGCTCCAATTGTTGTTCTAATGATACAGATTCTGATAAAACTTTAGTGTTCCAATATTGTAATAGTACGTGTTAAGGCCTTCGTTATGTCTAATAAACTTAGTGGCTTTTAAATCTGAATTTTCAGTGTAAAGCTCCATAACACCCTCTCCGTATGACCTTCTTAACATTACCCTCTCCATATTACCCTCAACATATTACCCTCTCCATATTAACCTTTCCATATTACTCTCTCCATATTACCCATTTCATCTTACCCTCTAAATAGTATCCTCTCCATATCACCCTCTCAATATTACCCTCTCCATATTACCCTCTACATATTACACTCTCCATATTAACCTCTACATATTACCATCTCACATTACCTCTCAATATTACAAACTCCATATTATCCTCTACATATTATCCTTTCCATATTACCCTCTCCATATTACCCTCTCCATATTGCTCTCTCCATATTACCCATTCCATATTGCCCTCTAAAAATTATCCTCTACATATTACCCTCTTTTTATTAACCTTTCCAAAATAAAAATAAAAGAACATAAACATATGATCAGTATAAAATGATATGTGGGAACAATTTCGTGATTTTTTTTTTCAGATTAAAAACAATTCAGATTTTTATTTTGAAATGAGCCTACAAATTTGCTAATAAAATAAAAATTTGAAATGATTTATGTTTAATTTTGTTTTTAATCTTTCTTCATGTTTTTTTCTCACTGGTTAATTAAAAAAAAAAGTTTAAAATTTTTAAAAACAATTCATTTCATTTATTAATAATAATTCATTTTGTTCCGTAAATAGTAGGCCTATTAAGTTCATTTTTTAATAAATATCAATATTAATTAATTTCCTTTTTATTAGCTATTTAATATAGTATGTATGTATAATTATATATAATATAAATAAATATATATATATATATATATATACATACATAAATACATAATTATATTTATATATATGATAACAGAGACGCATTGATAATTGACGTAACTATACTTAATTAATAGCTTAATTTTAAAAAAAAAAGGCTTTAAGGGCTGTCTATAAGCGTCACTAAAATTCATGGACATTGACGTTGATACGTGGATGAGCCGTGCAAGCTAGACCGTTAGACTCGATGTTGGAGCAATAAGCACACCGCATAATCGCCAAGAAAGTCCACTGCAAAGAAAATCAGAATCGACACAAATTCAGCTGGGTCCCGAAGATTGATGTGTTACTCCAGGGTTTCTTTCAGCCATTACTCCAAGGTTGGGCCGGGGGGGGGGGAGGGGGCAAGGTTGTCCCCACCTATAGGCATTTTTATTATTATTATTTTTTTTGCAACTTTACTAGTTCAAAGATTTTAGTAACACGGTATTAAACGAAGTTTTCATCAAAATCAAGGTCTATAATTAGAATACCATTTCTTGCTAAGGATCAAACATACACACTCTATTTCGAAGTACATGTCATTACAAAAGCATTACTTTTAAAGTAGGGATTGGTGTTACGTTAATTATAAATTGTATGGTGACATTTGTTATTATAAATATTTTTATGAGCATAATTATAAATTTATTCGATTCCATGTATGTTAAGTGATATAAAATGAGAAGGCCTAAAAAAAATTGAGAAATATAAAAAAAAACAAATTAACGGTCGCATAAAAATAGTGCACATTTTATCACTTATTATAACAAAGCGTTTTGTGTTTTCTTTAAATGTGTTCATTTTATAGCAACGTGTTCTGAATAACAGACGCTTAAAAAAAGCCTTCAGGCTATTTATTAAATTCCCAACTGCTTTTGTCTTTTGAATATAAAGGTAATAAACACACAGTTGCATCTAGTCGCACGGAATTTTACATTTTCAGCATTCTTTTCTAGATGAGAATCTATCAGAAAGTTTAAAAAAAAAAAAATAAGATTTTGTGAACAAATATTTCTATTATCATGCCAATGGCCAATGTCATTTTTTGTTGGTACTAGTTTTAGAAAAAAAAATATTAGTAGTAATTTGTCAATTTAAAATAAATTCTGGGGATCTGTTAATAATTCTTTGGGGGTAATAAAATATTTTTTGTGTGGGCTAAACCACCTGTGTTTCCTAGTATAGTCATAGTATTAATAGAAGTGAGAGTTCGTGAGAGTGTCATTGAATGTTAGAGTGAGTGTGGAGTGAGATTGGTTCAAAGTATGTAATTAGCACACATAATCATACCCGAGACATAGCCTTTGTAGCCATACTAATCAACGTAGAGGACGGGATCTTTGTTTATAAAAAAATAAGCATAAGCATCGAATATTATTCTTAGAACGAAGTTTTAACATTTGTGGGAAATATTTAACATTTTGTTGTAATATTTAACATATGGATTAGATTTTAATGCTAAAATGACAAACCATAATATTTAAATGTACAGAATTATGCGCAGGATTATTTGTTGATTAAAATGTAAAACAGTGTATGGCAAAGTCTTAAGGATTTCAGAATTAAAAACAGTTGAGGTGCGTGCTCAAAAGTAATTGGTTGCCGACTTATTGTGATTTCATCATGCGGATGATTTTTATTGATGTTTATTAAAAACTGCGGGTTGGGGCATGGGGAATCGATACTTTCATTTTAACCCCGGCAACACAAGATACATTTCCAAACAAAGGAAATAATTTGATAAATAATAAGTCTGCTTCGGTAAACATATACCAGGGGAAGGATATATGTTGTGGAAGTTTTACTAGATGACAATGTCTTTCATTCCAATGATATTATAGTCGTGGAAAAGAGATGTAACCCAATTTGAAAATGTGAAATAATGTTATACCAATTTAAACAAAAAAAAAATTATACACAACTGGCATTGACAAACTGTTATTAAATTTACATAAGTATTATACCCATACGCAATTTAAAAGTCGAGACCAAATAATTTAAAAATGGGAAAATTTAATATAAAACTTAGCCCCCCATCTTTCCTTTAGATTTCACTAAGATGTGTTAAGTACTTCTTTCAAAATATGAAAAAAAAATAAAAATTTGTAGTTTTTTTTTTAGAATAGAAAAATGTATGTACATTTTTAAAAGATGTACATATATTCAAACAACCAAGACTGTTACAGGCGTGAGCATGGGTTAAGAGATTTTCCTTTAGACAAGAATTATTTGTTTTACGGTTTTCCGATAACCTGGAAGAAAAACAAGTCAAATGTTTGGTGACATGTCTAATGAAGATAAATATTTATCAAATTACGTTAATGTAGAATATATATTTACTATGGTAAATAGATTTTTTGTTGTACTTTAAATTTCATGATTTGAAAAAATTTCGGAGAGAAAAAATTGTAGTTCATATACGCGGAAAGGGTTGGGTAGTCGTACATTATGCGACCTATAAATATATCACAAAACTCAATACTTTTATAAACGTTAACACCACTTTATAGATACTTTATTTAAAATATGGAATTGTGATGAAGTATGGCAAAGTATAAAGATAGACCCAAAGATCCTTAATGTCCCTCCAGCAACAGACAATGATAACTACCCTATTCTTTGCGCAGAAGTAGAAGCAGCAGTCCAAGCACTCCAAACAGGAAAGGCCGCAGGAGCGGATAATATCCCTGCCGCGTTGGTGAAACAAGGAGGAGAAGCAATGGTAAGTGCCCTATTCAATATTTGTAACAAAATCTGGCTTACAGGAGAATGGCCCAAACCATGGACCCAATCCAAGGTCATCCAAGCAAGGTCATGCTGAAGATCAAATTGAATCGATTAAAACCATACGCCGACAGAAACATTGCTGAAAAACAGGCGGGCTTCAGACAAGGACGGGTCACTGCTGAGCAGATTTTAAAACTCCGAATACTATGTGAGAAATATGCTCAACACCAAAAAAAACTATACCACGTCTTTGTGGACTTCAAGAAAGCATTTGACAGGGTTTGGCATGCTGCTTTATGGGCCACCATGAGGAACTACAACATCAACATAAACCTAACCAGCATGATATGCAGCCTCTACGATAAGGCCACCAGTCTTTTGATTTATTGATTGATTGAAAACTTATATGTTGGTAAGTATCCATGCTATTTTTAGCATGCTAACTGCGCTCTCAGTGATGGCATCCGGGGCGTCGCAGGGGTTGCCGGAATGATTCATTCTATCGATGTTTGCCACCTGTAGGGGGCGCCATCTCAGGGTTTAAATTCAGAGTTTCCTTCTCTTAGATTAGTTGCCATACAAGGTTAACGAGTCCCATCTACCCGGGGTATCTACCCGGGGAGCTGATGAGGTTTTTGGCTGGAATTGAACTCCAGACCACCAACTTGAGATTTGCTCAGTTTAGACCACTCAACCACTCGGCCACCCGAGTCTTCCTCAACAACAAAATCGGAGAATGGCTCAAAACCACGGTTGGAGTACTACAAGGCTGCCTGCTGTCCCCCACCCTGTTCAACATCTTCCTAGAGAATTATGTCAGATACTCTGGAAGCAAAAGAAGGGACAGTCAGCATTGGTGGCAGAGCAATCACCAACCTATGCTTTGCGGACGACATAGATGGACTGGCTGGGAACGAATAAGACCTAGCCAACCTGGTAAAGCGTCTCGATTAGACCTCGTCAACTTACGGCATGCTAATCAGTGCCGAAAAGACAAAACTGATGACAAATAACACCACAGGCATCACCACTGAAATTAAGGTCTGGAAGGAAAGACTAGAGACAGTAGGCCGCTTCAAATGCCTAGAAGCAACAGTCTCAGAAGAAGGCTCCAAGCCCGAACTGATGTCAAGGATTGCGCAGAATACTACAGCACTAAAGAGGCTCAAGAAAATATGGAATGACAAAAATATAGCCCCCGGCACCAAAACCAGGCTGATGCGCTCATTTGTCCTCTCTATTTTCCTGTATGCCTGCGAATCCTGGACATTAACATGATTTCAAACATCCATTCAGTGAGTTCTCTTATAAAATTTAGGGACTTATTAGTTCTCATTAAGATGTGTGACTTCAGAGGAATTTATACCAGACGTTGAATTCCCACACCAGACGGTAATACTGAAATTAAGCTGGTTTCCAATTGTTGCACTGTAGAATAAGTTAACGACCTGCTTGTTTACGCCCAAATTGTACAGTTTTTTGAGGTAGAACAGTCGTTGGTAGAATTTCTTAAACAGCATTTGGCCGTGCTCATGCCATGTTAGCTTATTATTAATGGTGACACCTAAGTACTTATATGCCTCCAACCTCTCTACACTTTGATTTTTTATTTTCAGATCTGTAATCTCGTGTTTCCCCCTCCTGAAATCAACAACCATTTTATTGGTTTTTGAGATATTCAACTGGAGAAAATTTTCATCGCACCAATTGATAAAGCTTGTAACAAAGTTGCGGTATAGGCCTTCTCCTTCAGATATTAAGCCAACAATGGTGGTATCATCAGCAAATTTTAAGATTGGAATGGTGTAGCTTAAGCTTTGAATATCATTGGTATATATTGTAAACAGTAAAGGAGAGAGAACGCAGCCTTGTGGTGCCCCAGTGCTTATTTATCTGGTTAGAGACACTGACTTGGTTATTTACTTTGACATATTGTGGTCGATTTGTGAAAAAGTTCAGTATCCAAGCCTGAATATTTAAATTGACACCTAACGAG